AGAGCAGCACAGATGAAATTCAATTCACCCGATTTAAAGTAGAAATTATGCAAATTCTTTTAGAAATAAAGTAGTCAATCATTAACCCTTTAATATTAGTCAAATTTGAAGTGTATATATTCACGCATATTTATTAAAGTCCTAGAATAATGTATAGTAATGATTCAAATTAGTTATTCTTCCTAAATCTTTAGAAAGAGTCACAATTTTTGATTTAAACTATGCCAGATTAAAAACATAAAAAATAATCAGTACTTTGGTACATCCAAAACATTATGCCAGTGACTCAGCTATGCATATTCTTTGTGAATGCAGTAATTAATACAATACCCATTTCAAGCAGTAGCCTGTAATCATTAAGTTTAGTATAAAGAAAAATCAGAAGCTTAAAGGATTTATTCCAATTCAAAAGTTGTGCTGCAAATGCCCTTTAAATACTGTCAATTATTAAGACTTCTTATTAAAAAAAGCTGGTCTTCTCATTAATAAGGAATTACTTAGAGAACTTTATTCAGGCTACATTTAACCAGACACATCTGCTTTTGTAAAGCCTCTTCTTTCTCATACTTAAGCAGTCAGAGACTAATACAATTAAGAAATAAACAGCCATCTCTTTAGGGGCCGGTGTGGTTGCACACTGGGTAAAGGGAGTGAACCAGTGGATGGAAGATTGATCTCTCTTGGTATCTCCCTCTCTCTTAATTTTTTCAAATAAATAAAATAAACCTTAAAAAAAAAAAACAGTATCTCTTTAGAAAAAGAAATACATACTGGTCCTTAAACAATCATTCATAGAAGAAATCAGACCACGGTTCCTCACTATTAACAATTCTTCCTACTGCTGCTGGAAATCATACTTCACCTCATTCCACTGTTCATTTTCTTGTCTTTGTTATCTGCTATCATTCTGTACTTCCCCAACTCCTACCAAAATCCTTTTATACTTTTCAAACAACTATTTCTCTGTTAAGAAAGAGACTCATTTTGGTTTATCATGATTGGTGGAGCTGCTCTTCCTTATTGGAGGAAACTAGAGAGCATGACTGCTTTCAATCTTTTCTGGTTGCAGAAAAAGACAAATTCCATTCCAAATTAGCAAGGTTCCATAAATCCAGTATCTCACTTTCCAAATCAGTGTTATCAGAAGTCTTAAAGAACCAATAGATTGGTATTATGTTTATTCACAGCAAAGACAGAACATATATATGTGTATTACCAATCCTATACTATAAAACTAAAACAACTTCTTACAAAGATAATAAAGATCAAGATTTGTGTTCTAATCCCCCTTTCCTTATGTTTCCTGAAATAATAACCAATGTTTGGCTTATATCATTTAGTTCACATAAAATTATAAACAATATGCATCCTAGTGAATATAAAAGGCCACATTCCTACTGACACAACTCTTGGTTTTAGGATTTTTAGGTACCCTGGGAAATCATCAGCTTTTTTGAAGAATATGTAATTTCCTTGAGTAAATTTTATTTTCTAAATGATACTTTAGTAATCAATATGGCACTCCTGATGAGTGCACCAATATTAGTTGTTATACTAAAGAATGTCATATATACATATGATTTTACACTCTGATTATTAACTTCTGGTAAGAACTCTCTCTCAGAGGGTTAAATATGCATAAAATGAGTATCTAGTGCATGATTTCTACATTATCTGTAAAGCTGGAAGAGCTAAATTGCCTCCAAAATTCAATAAAGAAAAGTAAGCTTCCAAGAAATACAGTTCAAGTGAGGAGCTTTCCACTTCTGGCCTTATCTGCAGTGAGACTTTCATGTAACAGAACTCTATGAAGTAATTACAGGTTTTACTGTAAACAGGGAAAGTTCTGCCTCCTGGTGTACATTTACATAATCCTCTCACTCCCAGAAAAACAAATTAACAAAAATGAGAACTCTGTTAAAGAAAAATTTATAAAAGTGCATAAAAAAATTTTGTGTTTTACAGCACATACCAGAACCACCACTTAAGAGTCACAATTTATAATACTTTGTAAGTAGTCATCAGCAAACCTCACAAATAAAATCATTAACAAGATATAAAGATATTTCCACTAAGGGATCCTTACAATCAGGTTTTCAACAGTCTTTTGGCTGCAGTTGACAGTTCACAATTACAGCCATTCATAAGAGTTCCTGGAATGCGGCCTACAGAGTTCACACTGGTCAGCTATCTATGGAAAGCAATCTGTACTGTGTTCCTTTTAGGGCCAGTAATATTTTGTACCTTGCCCATCTACAAAAGAGGAGTCTGTTAAATGTGTAGTTTAAACAGATTTTGTAACATTTACTGTAAAAGTGACCACAAATTATTTATTAACTATTTTCAACCACGATTATACCCACCAGATTACATAAGATCAATTTAAAAGAGTGTCAATAATGAACCACAAGTCATTCTAATAAGAATGGCTATATATATATATATAAACTTTACGGTAATTAATAATTTGGGATCAGTAGGCAATGCTAATTGTTAATTCTTTTGCATGCACCACCATCAACACCGAAATCACCCATTTCCCCTCCTTTTCTCAAAGAAATACACCATGTTTACTAAAATCCTAAATTTTCTTAAAAAGCAAAGACCTTATTTACCAAAGCTCCCTTAGGATCTGAAACCTATGCACAATGTGTAGGTCATAATTACTCAAAACTTCTCACTCCAAATTGTGTTACCTTTGAGTGACTGCTCATAAAACTGTATGCAGGTTAAAAAAAAGGCAACCCAAAATCGCCATATTAAGATTTTTATATAGTATTGTCTCTGCAAAAGTACTCAACTCAGAAATTTAAACATGTCTACAAAACTATATTATTTAATTTTAAGCATACTATTTTAAAATGTCTTCCTGAAGGCTTTCCAATATAAATTGCTTTCTTTTTTTTTTTTACTTGATTTATTCCTTCACCAGGTGTTAGCCCACTGACAGTCAAATGTGTAAGATTACAACTTGGAAACTAGCATGTTAAATTAAAAACCAATGGAAGGCTATCCACAAAAATTAGACATGCATATTTGATAAGCAATGCCAATTTTAAAAGACTGAAGTGAGGAAGGAAGTGCCATGTTTAAAGCAGGACTGCACAAACATCAAAACTCCTAAGCTGGCTTAACTGTTGCCATTGAAAACATTGGTATAATAGTATCTTACTGTACTAAAAATTAAAACATTTACATGTCTGAATTATCAATTTTAATATACTAAGAGAAATAAATGCATCTCTGATGTCATACCCCGAAGAATATATCTCAGAGTTTCCAGATGTCAACACATCTCTCTGCTTCATGCCATGTCATAATTTTAAGTTCAGAGCAATGTAATTACATATGCTGTAAACTTAAGAGGTGTAAAAAGGAGGGATAATATATTTTTCATTCATAACGTACTTGAGTATAGAAAAGTAGGGAGGTTGGAAAACCAGTCATTATTTCTTGAAGAAATAATACAGGACAGTTTATAGAATCAGAGAGGTAAGCAACAGATTATTTACCAACTCAATCAGAAAAGATAAGCTTCTGGCAGATAGAAAAGGGAAGATGCCCCCTGTTGACTATTATCAAAGGTGGAAAAAAATTTAGTTTGCTTTTTCGTTGTGCCCCATACGTAAAAATGGAAGCAACTATAAAAGTAGAAGGATTTTTCTGAGTGGCCTGTGGTTATCAGTATCTTGGTAGTCCCATCCATATAAAGTTTTTAGCTAGCTGGGCTCACTTATGGACATGTGGTACTCTCTAAGAGTCTCAAATGGAAGAAACACTCACCACAAGCAAGTCACCTACAAAAAAAGATGAACTCTGAATTACAAAAAGAGAGAAGATGAATGAATTTCAGTGAGCATTTTTCAAACCAACAGACATATATAACAAAAATACAAGGCTAATTAGAAATGGGAAGTCAAGAAAAGTACATGAAAGAACTCAAGAAACATAGATAGAAAAGACGTTAACATCTCAGTGTATTTTTACATACCAATTTTGTTAGAAATCTATAAACCAGTTTTGATATTTTAACACACCTAAAATTAATTTTTCTTTAAAAACCCCAGCTACTAAATGCCTAACTTGTGAAGCACCTGAAACATGAAACATTTTTTGCAATTTTAAATTGTGCTATCAAGTCAGCTTTTAAAATTTTACTTTGTCAAATTTCAAGACACTAACAATCCTTATTAAATCACAACCAAACATCAACTGTTGTAGAACTGGTGTAGCAATACACCAATTTTCACATTAAAAAAGCACCTCTTAAATAGAGGGAGCCAATAATTATCATTTACACTTTTATTAGAAAATAACTCTTATTTTCAAGAACTACAGCTTTTACTATTGTTGAAGGCTCTAATACCTTCCTCTCCAACTGTAAAAAGATTAATGGACTGTAAGAGCATCTTACATTTTGCCTAAACAAAAACTATCTCGGAGAAGCCTCACAACCTTCTATCCCCTTTTATTGAAAGGCTGAACTAAGTAGGAATCTTCAAATCCAGATCTGACACTCTTCTCTCTCTCCAGCTTTTCCAGATGCACTGTGGGGAATTCCTCACATAGATTTCTTTTAGAAATCTAGAATCATGAGAGGGTCTTCTGGTTTTCCAAAACGGAAAATTTGTAAATAATTTTATGTGTCAGTTTCAAAACTCACACCGACAAAACTGCCAGGAAGTGTTCAAGTGTGACTGGTATCTAAGAAAGGGGCAATCCTCTGGCAGCATACTGGCTACTGCCTTCAATTTGTGAGGGTTAAGCTAAACTCCATTTGTTGAATAAACGCTGCATCCCTACTCATTTTAATAACTTCAAACAGCTGTGATGAGACCAATACCTTCACTACTCACTTTTACATCAGCAGTCAATTTTTACTAAACACAAAGCAAATTTTAAAAGCCCCAGTGCACAAAGAACTCTCCCGAAGCTGCATCCTAAGCTACAATGTCTGGCCAAGTGTTCTTATGAAACATTTAAAATAAAGATTTCCATACCTGTCTTCATCACCATCAACAGGAATAGCTATGCTGAATACAGAGGTGGCGAGACTGTTCATAGGTGTTAACTGAAGGGGGTTTGCCAGGGCATCTGCAACAGGAGGCTTCACAACAGGCTTACTGTCAGCAGTGAGAGAAGGTGGTGGTTGAGGTAGGGGTTCTGATTTTCTTCTAGTATCGTCAACTTGCCCGACTAAAGGTTGGGCTTGAGTCTGAAACTGGCTTAAGTCAGACTGCGGTAGACTCGTTGGTGCACTGTGTGTGCCTGGCGCTAAGGGCAGCCCGACGTGCTGGATTATGCTGCTGCTCCTGCTGACTGGCGTATGGCTGCTCAGCTGCTGCGACTGGGCCAGAGGCGCGGGTACATTTGGCATAGTAACAGAAGTGGTAGACACACTAGGCACGCTTGGGGCGGGCACGGCTGCAGGCACGTTTGGAACTCCGGGCACCACGGCGTGAGGGCCACCAGGCAGGGCTGACAGCTGACCACTGCCACCCATCTGCGGCGGAGGCACGGACTGGGGCTGCCCAGCCCCTGTAGGCCCCATGCCTGGTTGCACCACGCCTCCCAGAGCAGCCGGGGGCACTCCGGCCGGCTGACAAGGCGCTGCCTGCCCGCCCTGCGCAGGTCCCGGCCCTAAGGCCAGAGCTTCACTCGGCTGGGAAGACGCGCCCAAGATCTGCGCGCCCACTGAGGCGGCGCTCTGGCTGGTGCCCACGGCAAAGCTGGCCGCCGCGGCGGGGCTCGCTCCCACGCCGGCGTTCGAAGGCTGCGCGGGGCTTGGCGGCTGCAGGCCGGCCACGTGCTGTTGCAGGTACTCACTTTGGCCAGAGGGCTGGACCGGCAGCAAATGCCCAGGCGCTATCTGAGGCTGGGGGTACGCGAACTGTTGGGGCTGCTGCGGGGCTGTAGCGCCGACCGCCGGGACCGGCTGGGGAGGCAGAGACACCGCCGACTGCGCCTGGGCTACTACATTCGTTGGCGGCAGACTCTGCCCACCCGGCCCCGGAGGGGCGCCGCTGGGCCCGATTCCCTGGGGCTGGCCTGGCTGCGCGGCTGCTATCATTGGCTGCGGCCCGGCAGCGACTCCTGCAAACGGCGGCAGCGGAGCCGAGCTCTGAGCCACAGCCCCACCTACGGGCGGCGGCGGCTGTGGCTGCCCAACGCTAAAACTCTGCGGCTGGGCCGGAGTGGGCTGGCTCATTTTCTCCGACGGGGGTAGCTGTGACACAGCAGACAAGGAGCTGTCAGTTCCAGAGTCGGGCCCGTGCGCCCCCTGCATGGAGGCCACCACCACCACCACCGACCCTCCGGTGGCGCCCAGGCCACTGTCCCGCTCCGCAGTTTGATCAAAAGTATTGCTGTGTCTAATGCAATCCCCAGACCTGGTCAGGACACTGCTGTCGGAATCCCGCTCATAGTATTCCATACACGTCCATCGGCCGCGGCGATAGGGCTCTCCGCTCCCGTGGTCCAGCTTGATCACGCGAAATCGGGAACTGCAAGTGGCGGGCGGCTGAGCCGGGGCTGCGGGCCCCGGCCCGGCAGACGGGCCCGCCGCCGGGGGGCCTCCGGGTGCTCCTGAGGCGGGGGCCGTCGCCGCCAGGGTGCTGGCGAGAGCCCCAGCGACGCTCCGGGCCGACACGGCTCCTCCTCCGTTGGCAGGAGCGGCCGCCGCGGCTGCCAGCTGCCCATCCAGGAGGAGGTTTGGGGAGACGGTCCCGGGAGTCTCGGCATCCCCAACATTGTTGAGGGTCTCTTCGGAGGAGCTGCGCTCGCAGACCTCCTCAGGCCCGTAATCTGTGGCCCGGGAAACGTCGAATATCTCGGAGGAGACGTCCTCTGTGCGCGACTCGTCCGGGTCGTCCAGGCTCTCGGTGTCCTCGGTGATGCTACTGGCCACCTGGGCCGTGGTGACACTGGTGATCTGGAAGCAGCTCTTCTTCTTGGCCGGCATCTTGGACATGGTGAGGAAGGCTGGAGGACACACGGGCACGCCGGCTCCTCGGGGATCCTGCCGGAAACGGCGAAGGGCAGCGCACAAGGGGGCCCCCAAAGACAAAGTCCGAGTCCGCGCTGGGGTGGGCGGCCCGCAGCTGAGGAGTCACGGGCTGATGCGGGCGCCGGACGCTCGCTCAGACATCCTCCTGCCCGCTGCCTTGTCGGGGTCGATCTCCGCGGCTCGGCCCCCCGGTCGCACTCGTGCGGCGGCGCCTCAATTCAACCCCCTCCGCCGCAGCAAGAGAGGGATCCCAGGGGCGCGCTGGCGGCTTCCTCCCTCGTCTCCGGGCCGCCGTGGGCAGTCCAGCTCGGCGCTCGGCACGGTCAGCAGGCCTGGGCTGGGGGTGGGAGTGGGAGGGCGAAGGGGAGGAGGAGGAGGAGGAGGAGAAGGAGGAGGTGGTGGTGGTGGAGGAGCAGGAGGCGGCGGCGGCGGCGGCGGCGGCGTGAGGGGCGGCGCTGCCCCGCTCGGGCTCCTCAGGACGCGGCCGGCAGCAGCTCGGAGGGAAGAACGGGAGGAGTGGCGAGGCCGGAGGTTCCCGATTCAGCTGGGAGCCCGCGGGCCAGGGCTGGCTGAAGGTCTCCGGGCGGGCGGCCCTCCCTCCCCGGCTCTAGCCGGAGCTCAGCCCCAGGGACATGGTGACTGTCTTCAGGCGGAAACCCGCTCCGGGGGAAGGGAAGGCCGGCTCGGGCCTCCCCTCCCAGGGGGAGCCACCCCCGCGGGCGGCGGCGGCGGCGGCGGTCTCGGCCTCCCCTCGCGGCTCTCCGGAGAGTGAGGGGCGGCGGCGGCGGCAGACGGCTGGCCGGCGAGCGGAGGCGCTCCGACGATGGGAGGTAGCGGTGGTGGCCTCTTCGGCTCCTCCTCGGTGCTCCGGTTCGTAAATCCTGGAGAAACTGAAATTCAAACTGCTGAAGCGGCGGCTGCAGCGCCCTCCCCTCGGCCAAGATGGGGCTGAAATGGCCGCGCCAGGGATGCTGGGAGGAGCAGCAGCCCCGCTGCCGCCGCCGCTGCCGACTAAAATGCCGCCGCTGCCGCAGCTACCGCCAGCGCCGCAGCCGGCGCCGCTCCGTGACGCACCGGCGTCGTGACGTCACCGCCCCGCCCCCTCCGGTTTCCTGCAGTTTCGCGTGGAGGCTGGGGGTGGATGGGCGGAGCTAAAGGTTAAAAAAAAAGGGGAGCGGTTTCTTTCTTTAAAATATTTTTAATTTAAAATTTTCGCTGGCTCTTTAAGCGATGAAGAGCTAAAGACAGTTTTTAATTCTAAGCCGAGAGAAGCTTGCGACTTCGCTAATCTGATGTTAGTACATCGGTTTGTTCTGAGACACTGGAAGGCTGGAGGTCATGTGCTGTGTCTAATGTTTAGCAAAATCTTGGTGAAATGAGGGCGATAGCCGTGGGGACCTTGGAGGGGAGAATTAAATGGGATAAAGAGGGATACCGCGGGAGGAACCAAATCACTTAAAAAGTCTTGAAAATAAAGGTTGAGTCCTACAGTAAGAGAAGTGAAATGTTGAGAGGAATCAGGATGATTAACGAAGTAAAGCAAGCCAGATTGAGTCAGAAAAATGATCCTGCAGCCAGAAATTCTGTCTCCAACAATGGCATCAGGGGAGGGTTACTTGCCCAGGGTGAAGTCAGTTTAAAAAAAGATTAGGGGTTGCTAACATATTCCTGATTTTCCTGAATTTGCTGTGATTCCAGGCTGGCAGAGTTCATTTCAACTCTGGAGACTGTTTTCACTTTCAGCACGAAATCAGCCTAGTGACTCCACAAATGTGGAACCTACTGTATTACATAGATCTAGTTCTTTCTTTTGTTTATTCTAAAGCTGCTAGTTGGAGCCAGGGTGTTCATGGTTTTGGTTGGACCATGAACAACCGTAACAGGTCAGAAAGCACCCTTTCCTGAACTGGTGCAAAGAATAGCTGTGAAAGTGCTGGTGACTTTATCATTTTGTGGTTACTTCCCAGCAAAGGCAAATGGTAATACCATTCATTTTTCTTTAAAAAAATATTTATTTATTTGAAAAAGAAAGTTACAGAGAGAGGTAGAGGCAGAGATCTTTCATCCACTGGCTCACTTTCCAAATGCCTTCAATGGCCCAGCTGAGCCTATCCAAAGTGAGGAGCCAGGAGCTTCTTCCAGGTCTCCCACGTGGTGCAAGGGTCCAAGTCCTTGGGCCACCTCTGTTGCTTTCCAAGGCACATTAGCAGGGAGCTGGATTGGAAGTGGAGCAGCCAGGACTCAAACCGGTGCCCTTATGGGATGTTGGCGCTGCAGGCCGGGGCTTTAACCTGCTGTGCCACAGCATTGGCCCTGAAGGGCATAATTTCAAACAATTAAAAAAAGTAGGAGTAGTGGCTCTCGAACTCTGATGTACTAAAGCAAGTTATCATTTAGGTAGAATCTAAGAAGTCTTACTGGAAATCAAGATTTCCTATCTGTTGCAGCTTTAGTAATCACATCTTGATGACTTCCATAAATCAGTATGTTGTATGTCGTTTTACTCAGTTCTTAAATCTTTGAGGAGTAGACACACTTCTTATCTGAAAAGATTTTGATAATTAAAATCTATAGAGAATTTGCTATGGTCTTAATTGTAATTAATTTATAGAGAGAAGTCTTTTAACCTTAGTAGAAACCATATCCTACAAACCCAAGTGACTGAGGTCAGGATGTGAAATAAGACCCCATAATAACATCCCTGTTTCTTAAGGGGGTGGGAGAGTAAAGGAACAAAGTGTAACATTATGCTGCTGTTGTGGCAGAGAGCGCTAATGGAATGTTTCATTTCTAAATCTGTAGTTCTAGTCATTGTTAGGGACAGTTTTTCATCAATAAGTCAGATCAACAGGTTAAATATAATATGAACATACAAAAGCTTAATTTTGCATATATTTACCACATTGTTAAAAGTACTGTTGGGTGTGGAGCTTTTAGAAAAATAAATGTTGCGTGTACCATTGCATTATCTTATTATGTAACTTCTTGATTACTTGTCATAATATCCTTAAACCACACATTTAAAGGAAAAATCTTAGTTACATGTAAGACCATTTCTACATAAAGAAGTTGTAAAGGATATATTACGAAATGAAAGAAGAGATAAAACTAATTTAGAAGAGATGAAATTCTAAATTTCTGGTAATCAGGAAAGGTTAAAGTTGTTAAAAGACATATTAGAAATAAGATTTATGGGGCCGGTGCTGTGGCGCAGCCAGTTAACACCCTGGCCTGAAGCTCCAAGATCCCATATGGGCACCGGTTCAAGACCCGGCTGCTCCACTTCCACTCCAGCTCTCTGCTGTGGCCTGGGAAAGCAGAGGAAGATGGCTCCAGTCCTTGGGCCCCTGAACCCACGTGGGAGACCCGGAAGAAGTTCCTGGTTCCTGGCTTCGGATCGGCTCAGCTCCGGCTGTTATGGCCAATTGAGGAGTAAACCAGTGGATGGAAGACCTCTCTCTCTCTCTGCCTCTCCTCTCTCTGTGTAACTCTTTCAAATAAATAAAGAAATCTTTAAAAAAAAAAGAAATAAGATTTATAAAATTGAAATGTTTCATTTATATATTTAAGGATCTGTGTGTATGTTTAATAAAATAGTTCTCTTTGAAGTACTGTTTTCCAAAAGGTTAAGGACTTTAGCTTCTTTTATACATTTGAACTTTAAAAAGGTAGAGGATTTCTTGCATCAAAACCACTGTGAAGAAATTATAAAAATTCTCATTGTTAAAAATAAATGTGAAATTGGGCCGGCGCCGCGGCTCAACAGGCTAATCCTCCTCCTAGCGGTGCCGGCACACCGGGTTCTAGTCCCGGTCGGGGCGCTGGATTCTGGCTTGGTTGCCCCTCTTCCAGGCCAGCTCTCTGCTGTGGCCAGGGAGTGCAGTGGAGGATGGCCCAGGTGCTTGGGCCCTGCACCCCATGGGAGATCAGGAAAAGCACCTGGCTCCTGGCTCCTGCCATCGGATCAGCGCAGTGCGCCCGCCGCAGCGCACCGGCCGTGGAGGCCATTGGAGGGTGAACCAATGGCAAAGAAGACCTTTCTCTCTGTCTCTCTCTCTCACTGTCCACTCTGCCTGTCAAAATAAATAAATAAATAAATGTGAAATTATTGTGTAGGGGGCAAAAATGGTATAAGGTTCTCTAAAGTACAAAAGGTCATGTATTTCAAAGACTTAAAAGCCTTCAAATAACTAATTAAAATGGCAGAAAACAGGATATACATATAAGTACATATGTTTTGTGTGTGTGTGTGCAGAGTTGTTAATAAGCAATGTGGTTGCCTCATTCACAGGAGTCCGAAACCTCAAGAGTAAGGGTCTTACTCCAGTTACCTTGGCTCCAAGCCTGCACCCAGAAACCTTTGTTACCGCTCCCAGAGCTCCCAACTTGTCCTGTACTTCATAATTCCTTCAAAAACTTCTTGTAACACTGTATGGGAAACACATTTAGGAACAACGCAGAGGGGAAAACCCACTTAAAAACTAAAACTAAGAACTATTTCTAATGTTGAAAAAAAAAAAAAACTGTGACAGCAAGATCTCTTCATCATTTGTGAACAGCATACCCTCAGATTCTACGAGATTATTATGTAACCGTGTCAGTACCAGATGGTGAATTATTTCATAATCACAAGCTCCTAGGATGTTAACTGCAGATACTCAAGAAAACCTGACTTTTTATTTTCAGTGAGTGCATATTGTATTTAAAATAATGAAACATTAAACACTCTGGAGCAGAAAAAAGAAAACAGTACTTTCCGTTAAAATTAAGGATCTTGCTGGGGAGGCATTTGACTCAACACCTAACAATCTGCTTGGGATGCCTGCATCCCACACCTGAGTGCCTGGGTTTGAGTCCTTTCTCCACTTTCAATACCAGCTTCTTGGTAATGGGTGCCCTAGGGGGCAGCAGGTCCCTACCGCCCACATGGTAGACCTGACTAGGGCACCTTGCTCCTGGCTTCAGACTGACACAACCCCGGCTGTTGCAAGTATTTGAGGAGTGAACTAGGAGACAGGAGATCCCTGTCTATCTGTCTCTATCTCCCTGCCTTTCCAATAAATAATAAATAAATAAATACATAGGCATCTTCCTAGACTAGGAGCAGTAACCCTTTACCATAAATGCTATTAACCAGCCAGTGACCTATATTGAACATTCCTTGAGTGCATTAGGAATTAGACAGTATGTATCCAGGCCAAATCATTTTCTGGGGTTTAGAAATCACTTATGTTTATTTTCTGTTTTTATCATCAAACTGTCAGAAAAATACAAAATGGAGGAGTAGTTTTCAGTTTCCAAAAAGCATTTGCTAGAAATAAATATCAGTTGTCTAAACAAATAGTCTTTGATTTATTACTGTGATTTTCCTGGGGTTCCATTTCTGGAACAATACCATATTAATAAAACTTTGCAGTGAACCATTGTGTAATATTATCTAAAAAGGAAAAATGCAGTGAGAAAGGACTAAGGCTAATAAGATATCATGAATATTTTTATAAAGCAAAATGTAATCTGATTGAGAGCACAAATTCTTAAAAATAAGGTGTTTACAATTTTCACATTTAGGAAAACCTGTATGAGACACTCTTCGAGTTTGCTACACAGTGAAGCAATGTCTATTTATTTTATTTTTTTTTAAATAAATATGGATGTAGGGGCCCAAGGACTTGGGCCATCTTCTACTGCCTTCCCAGGCCACAGCAGAGAGCTGGATCAGAAGTGGAGCAGCCGGGATTCAAACTGGTACCATATGGGATGCCGGCACTGCAGGTGGCAGCTTTACCTGCTACGCCACAGAGCCAGTCCCAGATAATTTATTAATTTTTTAAAAAATATATATTTGAAAGAGTGAGAGAGAAACAGAGAGCATGAGCTTCATCTGCTGGTTCACTTCTGACATGGCTGCAGTGGTCAGGGCTGGACCAGGCCAGAGCCAAGAGCCGAGAGCTTCTTTCGGGTCTCCCATGTGGGTGCAGAGGTCCAACCATTGGGACATCTTCTGCTGCTT